ATTTATTATTCTTACCAAAGAAACTAGCTTGACCAACAGGCATGTGTTAGAATAAAGACCTTCAGTTCCTACAAAAAAGATGACAAAGTATTTCACTTCATGAAAGTTAGCAGCTACCCTAACAAGGAAACATCTACAATACAGGATCATGGCAATGATTAAGGCTTATTGCCCAAACACGTAAGCCAGTTTCTACCTGTACACTCTACTCAAAAAAATTAATTATTCAAAAGGAGGAGCTGTCATCTCTTCACTCCTTACCTTCACCTTTCCATTTCTGTTAGCAATTGGGACAAGTCTAAGTCCTTGACTATGTTCATACCCAGGACCATGGTACCAAAGGGACCACTGGACTGCAGGTGGCCACCACCCCTACCCACTCCACCACTTGGTCAAATATCTGCACCGCCATCCAGGTAATTTCTTCTACCAGGCCCCAAACCATGGCACTCAAAAGTCATAGTCCATAGTGCTAATGTCAGACCCGGTATCCATGAGGCAATGGACCTGCTGTCCATTGATTAATGCGGTGACCACAGGACTGTGGCAACCATCAAATCTTGTTTCTTGGGACATTGGTGTGGGGGTTCCCGGAGATCGTCCCTCCATCCCAGGAACCTTCTGTTTAGTGGCCAGAGAGGGATGACTTTGTTCTCAGGGCAGCTACAATTTATGGTTAGATGCCCATAGTGTCCTCACTACCAAAGCCTCAAGTCCTCATTGGGGTTTCTTACCAAAGAGTTCCACCCTTTTGAAAACTGAGTTTACTTCTGCTTGACCATTGTCATGTCATCTCCTGTTGCATGAAGGCCATGTTCTGGATGAATTCCTGCATGGCTGTTTGCATAGCTGAAAGAGGGGAATGAGCCAAAGTCTTTCTCTAAGACACATTGGCTCTTTGTCACAGTTATGGTGGCTTCCACGTTCTCCTGTTCTTGGGTCACTGCTTCCACCACCACATCAATGAACATGAGGGAAGGTTGGGCCTTCTTGCAGGGCACTGCACATGGGGCCCGCACTCACTCCTTCTATGAATTGGTCCAGTAACAGTTTGTCCAAAGTGTCTATATCAGCATACCCCTGAAGATCCTTCTTTTCCATATGCTTCCATAATTTCTGCAGGGCTACTGCAAAATTAGTGAGACTCTCGCCCTTCTGCTGTCTATAAATTAAAAGTTGGCAACACAACTCCATCAAAGTGACATTCTCTCTGAAAAGTCCATCCAACCATACAACTGTTTGTTGCAAGTTCGCGCATACCTCCTCCTGCAGTACCATAATAGCTGGTGGGCATCATGCTCCAGGTAATTAATAGCTAACTCTGCAACCAGCTTGGTGGGCACCTGGTAGAGAAGTACTGCACTTTCTAGTCTCTCCTCCTACTCCGTCAGTGAGACATTAGTACCACTGAACTTGGGAGCAAAAAGCTGCTCCTAAAGGTGCTATAGTGGTCCCTGAGCTAGCTGATGCGTGAAGCATATCCTGCCGACTGTGCCATGTTATGGCTGGGGTCTAATGGTTGGTACCCAAGGAGGAGAAAACGTGCACCAAGAACAATTAGGGTGTCAGAGTTATTGTTTGGTTAAGTGGAAGTAACAGATGGAGAACAGTAGCAAGGTATTTGATAAAGAGTCTCAAGCAAGTTGGTAACAGCGTCTCACTATACTGGTGCCACAGGTACAGAAGTAGAAACTCTCAGCAATGTTATTGGAAAGGCTAAATAGTTCCAGCATTTAGAGTGTCACCTTGATAAGGCCTGCTTTATCGGAACAGCATCTGGTTGAAGAGGGGCAGTGGTTTGGTCGGATGGAAGTATAGGCGGCACTGAGTATACTGATGGCTGATCTTTATCACCAACTCTAAAATCTAGAGGTAGCAATGCCAGCAAAGGTGTCCCTATTCTGTTCCTGCTCCTCAGGATCCTTTCCCTAGGACTAGATGCTCTGTCTCTAGCCAGCAGGGATCCTGTCCCTTGCCTATCAACTTCATAAATTTTTGCCAACTGCAGTGGAATGGTATTATTTATTAGCATTGCCCTCACCAAAGATGGACACAGAGGTCACCCAGTGTTGCAGCATACAATCGGACCACTGCTTCTTTGGTGACACCTATGGAGGCTTCAAAGGGAACACATTTCCCCTCATCCTCCATTCTTTCTGTACAGCGGTCAGTAACACAGTGCCACCTACAGAGGGGAGGGTGAACCTCACCTGCCAACACTCAGGCCGTGTGACAAGCTCAATTTTGTTTAGCTGCCTCAATAGATTTATTAGACCACAGATCTTCTGGTCATCCTAACCAGCACTGAAATTAACCCTCTTTGCCTAATGCAGTCTTTGCCAGGCTGTAAAAGATCCCAGAGTGTCACTTCAGGTAAGGGCTGTCAAGAAAGCTGTTTGTAGTTCTGCAAAATAAAGATCATAATGTAACTGTGTGCAGGAGTACACTTTGAACACTTGCTTGCCATGGTGGAGGAAGGGTTGGGATAGTGAGAAATGTTCATTGAGACCCTGAGATTTGTGATGCTGAAAAAGATTGGTGGGTAACTGAGGACATAGTATTTACCTGGAAAATACAGGCCATTCAAAATCCAGAATTTATACAGATCAGCTAACTTTCAGAAAGCAGGGGGGAGGGGAGCTGAAGGTACACTCTGCAGAGCTCAGTGAGAACAGCTGAGAGCTGATTGGAGGGAAGTGACACACCCCCTTCACACAACACACAGGAACAAAGCTGAGGCTGTCAATCATAGGTTGTGTGCTGGACAGAGGCGGACTGACAACTCATGGGGCCCCCGGCGGCAATAGGAGATCATGAGGCCCCTGTGTCCTTGCCCAAACTAAAAAAAGCCCACCCCCTATGAATACGTGCTATTGCACAAAACGCGTCAGGGGAGCCACACATTGGTCTCGGCGACCATCTTGGAATTTCATCACTGGTCAGTGTGATTCACTTTACTTTGGCTTGGTTGCAATAAATTACCCCTTTTCAAACGATATCACGCTATTGGCCTCCTCTTTTTGGGGCTCCCTGGGAGCTTTACCATCCACAGAGCGGGCATTCCAATATTGACAGCTGATGTCGGAGGGTGAGGATACCTGGTCTGACCAGACCTTGAAGGGACCCCCGGTTCTCTGAGATTGATATCTCTAAATGCGCAGATTGATTGCGTATCTGGTGAGTGTGCAATCTTTATACCCCGGGATATATCACTACCCTATCTGGATCAAATCACTGGATCCTGAAGATCATCATGATCTCTTATGCGCCTTAATGTTGGACTTATATTTTTTTGCACTTTGCACATCAATAGTCACTGCATAGTGACATGGTAGAGCACTGTTTCATCACCTTTTTATGTTGATGTGCTTTATTATGTTTTATCCATCTTATAATTGATCTATTTGAGGTGTTTTATATATAATAATCACATGTGTTTTATGCTATCTATGCTATTTTAAGCTATTTATTTATTGGATTTTGTTGTCTTTAAGTTCCACTGATTTCTTAATATCATTTGAGCTGGTTATTTTAGCACTACACCATGCTGTTTATTATCAAATAAGCCTATGAAAAAGGTACCAGGGGCATCTCATGGGGCCCCCTACTGACCCCGGGCAGTGCCATAGTTTAAAAATGGTCAGTCCGCCCCTGGTGCTGGAGCTCCCTCCACCAGGCTTACTGAATTGAGATATATGTCTCAGGTAAGGAGGTCACATAGGGATACATCTATTCTATTATTATTATACAAGATTTATACAACGCCAACAGTTTGCTCAGCGTTTTGCAATATAAAGGGAGACCATATAGTTACAATACAATAAAATACAAAAGGGTTAAGAGGGCCCTGCTCATAACAGCTTACAATCTAATAGTAACAACAGTAATAATAATTATTTCTGGGTATTTAAGCTGCATAAAGCCTCAGGCTGAAATGACACCTCCGCCTGTTTTAGAGGGTTGCATTGGAAAGGTTCTTCTTGCTGCATCTTGACTTACTTCTCAGTGCGATGCCATGTATTTTTTATGCAGAAATCTGGCCCTGTTTGTAAATACCTCAGAAAAGTTTACTTTATCCCAGCCTTGATACATCCCCTCCGCCATGCCCAGGGCAATGGTGACTCATAGGTATACGCCTGGGATCCCCAGTAAAGCAAATACAGTAAATGCAATATTCATTAAATGTTCCTAGTATAAATCAAGGGCCTACTCACAGCGCTCTGATGAATGTACCTTTACTGCCGCTCATTAGGGTCTATCTTGGCTAAATGACTTGACACTTTGTCAGTCACTGGGTTAAAGTGTTTTAATCCCCAATAATCCTTTCTGTTCCCCCCACCCGCCCCTTCACTCTTCTTCTTCTAATTCTCTTACAGAGCTGTTAATTAATGGAATGACAGTGATATTGACGATGCTTTGATCAATTATGCATTTAGCCTGCGTGGTGGCTGATAGCTATCACAAGTGTGCGAGAGGAGTGTTAACTTGTTCTGTGCTGCAGTTTTCTCCAATGCTGTGTATAGCAGATTTAGCCCATGGCTTAGCATGATAAAATAAATGTATCATAGAGATATACTGGAGCGCAGTAAGTACTGTCTACTGGGTAAAATTACAGAGATCCCCTGGTTACATTTTTATACAAAGCTGAACTCCAGTCAGTTAAATACACATTTGAACTACACAGATGAGAGCCTTTTTAGCTGCCATAGGATTAGTATGTTTGACTATCCAGTCCTGCAGCACAGTACAACTGTCCTGGTGACTGGGCTTTTCTCCTTTGCAGTTAGGTAAGGTCACCTCCTGGATCTCAGCATGTGATTAAACAGTGAGAGAGCAGCAAGAGACTAAAAAGGTTATCTCTACTGGTCCCCCACTCAGTACCTGTGCTCCACAGCTCTCCTGGTGGGTTATTAGTTCTGCCTTTTCCTCTCTCTAGGGCTGCTGTATAAGAAATTCCAAGAGGCTAGAATTAAGACATATTCAGCCTTCTATGCTTTATTCATTTAATTAGGTTTGAATAAATACACTATATTACCAAAAGTATTGTAACACTCCAAATCATTGGATTCAGGTGTTCCAATCACATCCATGGTCACAGGTGTATAAAATCAAGCACTTAGGCATGCAGACTGATTCTACAAACATTTGTGAAAGAATGGGTCGCTCTCAGGAGCTCAGTGAATTCAAGCGTGGTACAGTGATAGGTTGCCTCCTGTGCAATAAGTCCAACTGTGAGATTTCCTTGCTACTAAATATTCCACGCTCAACTGTTAGTGGGATTATAACAAAGTGCAACTGGGAATAAACAAAACTCAGTCACAAAGTGGTAGCCACGTGAAATGACAAAGCAGGGTCAGCGCATGTGTAAGAGTTGTACCGGGGTGGGCTCCCTAGGATACAGTGAAGTCACGAACGAGGAAAGCAACCCCCAACACCAGCTTTTGCCACAACAGAATTTTACTTAGATGTGGCAAATAAACACAACCACAAATGCTGGGAACATAACATAAATTTACATACACCCAGCCCAAAGGCTGAGACCCTTGTGCTGCACAGCACGGCGCCTCCTGATGGATGAAGGTAGAAAGTGTAGTAATTTACCTACTGGCGGGCACAATTAAGCTGCCACACCTTACCCGTTATTACCCTAAGAGAGCAGGAATCAGTGTATGGGTGTATGGTATGGGCTAGCCTGCGGTTCAGCACAACAGCTTACAATCTTACACAACTCTACAGTATTCCTCCTCCCATAACTGGTCCTGTAGCACGTGCCTGAGTATTCCTTCTGAGCAAAACACCAGTCTGGCTTGAGTTTGTGGGATTTTATCAGCTCTCCAATGTGAAATGTCACTTTAAGTTGTGGAGTCCTTCCAATAATCAGTAACAACACTTGTGGCCTAACACAAACAGAGATCCTAACTAACTAACTATAGGCCTGGCCTCAGTCTCTAGGCGCCAACACTGAAATGAGGTGCGTGCACGATCTTACCGACCCGGGTCTGCTTTGCATCCACTGGTGACTCTGAACAGAACAAATGTCTCTCCAACAAGCTTGCGATATTGCAGTGTATGCTGCGTTGTTCCTCTGCTCTCATCAGTATTACTGGCAGCAATCTTCCTTTCTCTGAACAGGATCAAGGTCTTGGACACGATCAGCTTCACTTAGTCGCAGCTCTGGTTACAGAGGGAAGCTCCCACACCTGGATGTCATTGGATTCTCAGCTCACACGGCCCCTTCATTCAGCACCGTTCAAAACATGGCTGCAGTCTCCTCTTCCTGTTCACTCCAACTCTGTGTGAAAACTCCACCTCTTCATGAATATACAAACATCTATGCAGTCTGAGGCTGTGTTAGAAAAACAGTGACATCTTGTGGCTAAACAGCAGAATGTCAGTCAAAACATTTTATACTTCCACACAATCAGTGTTCAAACAACGAGAGCTGTTTCCTCATCTCACACATGCTGAAGTGCACATTTCGCAGAAGTCGCCAACTGTCTGCAGTGTCAATAGCTATAGACCTCCAAACTTCGTATGGCCTTCTGATTAACACAACAGTGTGTAGAGAGCTTCATGGAATGGGTTTCCATGGCCAAGCAGCTGCATCCAAGCCTTACATCACCAAGTGCAATGCAAAGCGTCGGATGCAGTGGTGTAAAGCACGCCACCACTGGACTCTAGTGCAGTGGAGATGTATTCTCTGGAATGACGAATCACACTTCTCTGGCAATCCGATGGACTTGTCTGGGTCTGGCGGTTGCCAGGAAAATGGTACTTACCTGACTGTATTGTGCCAAGTGTAAAGTTTGCTGGAGGGGATATTATGGTGTGGGGTTGTTTTTCAGGGCTTAGTTCCAGTAAAGGGAACTCTTAAGGTGTCAGCATACCAAGAAATTGTGGACAATTTCATGCTCCCAACTTTGTGGGGACAGTTTGGGGATGGCCCCTTCCTGTTCCAACATGACTGCGCACCAGTGCACAAAGCAAGGTCCATAAAGACATAGATGACTGAGTTTGGGGTGGAGGAACTTGACTGCACAGAGTCCTGATGTCAACCCGACGAGAACACCTTTGGGATGAATTACAGCAGAGACTGCGAGCCAGGCCTTAGGTACTTGCAAAGCCGGTCCATCAAGTAGTTGGTGAAGACTGTCCTGAACAGAGACTCCCAATAGGGAGAGAAAAAAGACCCAAACACTGATATCAGGGCAGGCCCCAAAAAAACTGCACCTCTTGTCTTTGTGAGTAAAAAGAAAACAAACAGTGTCAATGCTCATGCAATAAATTTGTGCAAAAATAAATTCAAAGTGCCATACATAAGGCAGGCCTTTTGGCTGGTATTAAAAAGTGCTCTAGACTAGCCAAAAGGTTTGCCCAAGAAGCTTATGCAAGAAAAGCAATAAGCGATATGACCAAGTGCAGGGAAAACTCAGTGGGGTCCCAAACCCATAATGTTTTTCTGGCACCCCTAGGATTCCACCCCCAGTGGGCACATCAGTGGGAGCTCTTTGTGCCTCCCAGCCCCTAGCCAAACAAGAGCAGCCATAACCCTATCAGGGAGACATTAAAGTGGTTGTAAACCCTTACACATACCCAGTGAAGTGACTGTCCTCAGGTGATACACAGAGATGAGACAAATCCTCCTACATAAGTTGTACCTGTCTATATGCAGTCTTCTCTTCTCTACATTTCTTCAAAATTTTGAATTTATAAAGTTTGTTTGAGAGTTCAGAAAAAGGGGCTGACATTACACACTGCAAAGCTCAGTGAGGAGAGCTCTGAGAGCTGATTAGAGAGAACAGACACACACCTCCCTTCACACAGAACACAGGTACAAAGCTGAGGCTGTCAATCTAATGGAGGTCCCTCCCCTGTCACCATTTTTCTCTTAGTGTCAAGAAAATGTGCCAGAATAGACTCATTCTGATAGCAGAGGAAAGAAGCAGCAGGTTCCTGCTTAACCGGACAAATTTCGATACATGTATGGCTGGCTTAGTCTCATTTAGCTATGGTTTATTATTATTTTATTATTATACAGTATTTATATAGTGCCAAAGGGTATGCTCAGCGCTGTACAATAGCGAGGGGGACAGAACATGAGACAATACAATAACAATACAATACACGAGGGGTTCAAGGGTCCTGCTCTTTTGAGCTTACAATCTAGGAATCTAGGTTTACATTTATTTTGCTTAGATTAGAGAAGGCTAGTGTTAGGGTTAAATGAGTCAGTATATGGATGGCCTTAGGGTAGGGCATTGTTTACTTTGTCTCGAGCTCTACCACCAGCACTGAAAGCTAACATATTTTAAAGTCCTCTTTTTTTAAAGTCAGTATCTAGGTAATGTAGCTGTTTAACCAGCCAAAGGACTTATGTTTCTGTCCATACAGTCCTAACATTTAAACAGCCCTGCCACACAGCATAGCCAGCCTAATGACCTAACTTTTCTCCACTGCAGATAAGCAACACAGCTAGGTTGCTTACCCACCATAGCCCCTGATTAGACAATGAAGGAAAAGCTGAACACTGATAAACTCACCTTGCTCTATCCTTCAGTCCCATGGCCAAGGGATTTTCAGGGAAGGCATACAGAGCTCAGAATCAGCTGCAAACACTACCTACCCAACTATCCTGACATTATATGAGATGTAGTCTCCATAGTTATAACTTTATGCAAACACACAGCATTTTCATAGCAAGTAATGTTGAGATTCTATGTGAAAATAGATTTATATGTACATTCACCTACTATATCCTGAACACGTGTAATTGCATTGATTTTTGTGTGTAAAATTTAGCTCACATGGATTATCAAACAATTTATCTCTTCATTCAATATTGCTTGCTGCAGGCTGGTGATAATTGTGAGTTTCAAATACAGTGCTCAGAATAAATGAGTACACCCCTTTTGAAAAGAGATTTTAATCAATATCTCAATGACCACAAGAACAATTTCCAAAATGTTTACAAAGCTGAGTTTTATAGAACATTTGTTTAGCTCATGACATGAAAGTAAGGTTAATAATATAACTTAGATTACAAAATAATACAAAAATGAATACACCGCACAACAAAAACTACTACATCTTGTATTTTGTATAACCTCCATGATTTGTAAGGACAACACCAAGTCATGGAATGAACAAGTTGGAGACATATTGCAACATCGATCTTATTCCATTCTTCAAGAACGACCTCTTTTAGAGCCTGGATAATGGATGGAGAGTGATGCTCAACTTGTCTCTTCAGAATTTCCGATTGGGTTCAGATCAGGAGACATATTTGGCCACTGAATCACTTTCACCCAGTTCTTCTTCAGAAATGCAACAGATGTGTGTTTTGGATCATTGTCATGTTGGAAAAGTGCACAACAACTAAGGGCATGAAGTGATGGTAGAATCTTCTCTTTCAATATAGAGCAGTACATCTGTGAATTTATAATACCATCAATGCAATCCAGCTCCCTGACACCAGCAGCACTCATGCAGCCCCACAGAAGGACACTGCCACCACCATGTTTCACTGTAGGCACCGTGCATTTTTCTTTGTACTCCTCACCTTTGCGACGCCATACAGTTTTGAAGCCATCAGTTCTAAAAACATTTATCCTGGTCTAATCACTCCAGAATACAGAGTCCCAGTGGTCTTCTTCTTTTTCAGCATGGGCCCTGGCATATTCTAGGCGGGCTTTTTTGTGCATGGGCTTTAGGAGAGGTTTTCTTTGTGGACAACACCCATGCATGCCATTCCTCTGCAGTGTATGCCCTACTTTGTCACGGGACACAAGCACCCCAGTTTTGCTTTCTACTTCTTTAGCTAGCTGCAGTGAAATTGCATGGCGATGTTCTTCAATCCTCCTCATCAGAGGATGCTCCTGTCGAGGTGTTATCTTCCATGGACGGCCTGGACATCTGTGAGATGGTTGCAGTTCCATCTCTGTTAAATTTTTGTATCACTTTTGCTACAGTATTCTGACTGATAAGTATAGCTTTGCTGATCTTCTTGTAGTCTTCACTTTTCTTGTTGTAATAAAATGATATTCTTAGGCCTTGTGACATTTCTCTTCCATGTGTTGCCATTGCTGACAGCATGAAATGGGAAGGTGTTTTCTTTGCTAAATAACGCCCATTTATAATCAACTGTCTGCTGACACCTGCTCAATGAATAATTAGACTCACCTGTAGTTGAATTCTTGTTAATTAGTATTTTGTTGTTTAAATTAGCTTTGCTCCTAAGACTTTCATTGGGGTGTATTTATTTTTGCAGCATGGTCTTGAATTAATTTGTTAGGAAAAATACTTTTTTGTGTGTTCAACTTACCAAATCTTGTTGGCAATGAATAGCCCGCATTTGTGGGAGTATTTTGTAGTATAGTGTCCAATAGAAAATGTTGATTCTGAAAGGAAAGTAAAGGTTTTCTGACAAATCTGTTGGGGTGTACTCATTTATGCTGAACGCTGTATGTGTCTATTGAAGATGTGACACCCTTCTACAGGTGTTTGATACAGGATGTTAAAGCAAACACAAGATGGCAATGTCCTGCAGAACAGTGGCATTCACACTCTGTAGTGCAGCCCTATGGAACTTGTATGCTGAACCGCAGGACTTTGCTAAGGAACAATGTATCTAGACCAGCAATGGGCAAACTACGGCCCGGCGGACCTTTTATTCCGGCCCACAGCCAGGGCAGGCAAACAGGATGTGTGTAGGCGGGGCAGCGTGACTAACGTGAGGGGAGCTAGGCTCCTCTCACAGTCCGCCCTGAAGACCGGAACGGCGCGGGAACACGGCGAGAGGAACGCGCGGAGCAAAGGTAAGTGAATTGACACAGGGGGGACTTGGCTTACTACTTGGGGGGAATAGTACTGTGGGGGATGAAATACTATATGAGGGATGAATTAATATGGGGGATGAATTAATATGGGGGATGAATTACTATAGGGGGGATGAATTACTATATGGGGGATGAATTACTATGGGGGATGAATTACTATATGGGGGATGAATTAACTATATGGGGGATGAATTAATATATGGGGGATGAATTACTATGGGGGATGAATTACTATGGGGGATGAATTACTATATGGGGGATGAATTACTATATGGGGGATGAATTACTATGGGGGATGAATTACTATGGGGGATGAATTACTATATGGGGGATGAATTACTATATGGGGGATTAATTACTATGGGGGATGAATTACTATATGGGGGATGAATTACTATGGGGGATGAATTACTATATGGGGGATTAATTACTATACTTACTATGGATGACACATACACATCATTCATCTACTCTTGGTCCGGCCCCCGGGTCCAATATATGAACCCATTGCGACCCTCAAGTCAAAAAGTTTGCCCACCCCTGATCTAGACCAACAGTCTTCCTCCCTGTCAGCTCAGGCACACTTCTTGGGATGGCTGTGCATAGCATAGCACAGCCATCCCGATCAGAGTGCTTACAGTGAAGCTCACACCCCTCGCCCCCTAGTAAAACACTAACTACACACTGTTAGCCCTTTGATCGCCCCTCACATTAGCCCTGTCCTGCCCAGTGTCATTAGTACAGTGTCAGTGCTGTTTTTTTAGCACTGATCACTGTATTGGTGTCACTGGGGATGTCAGTAACACCAAGTTAGTTCCCCCCCAGTGTCAGAATGCACG